TAATAAGGATATGTGTTGTGTTGCATAAACAATAACTGCCAGCTTCCTCGTCCAGACCAACACAAATCATACTTGACAAACAGTGGCTCGGGTGGTGCGCATAGATTCAATGCCTCCACCTTGTGGTGATAACACAGAAATACAAAACATGCATTACGTCATACAGAGTTGCATCGTTACAGTTTAAGTAGTATTTTGAGAAAAATAAGCTTTTATTTAGACAGATAAACGTATCATGTGTGAGTCTGACATGCAGCTTTTGCATATTTACTTATTTATTGTATGTAAAGTATTTAAAATAAGTAATTTGGCTAATTTTAAGTCATTTAAATTAACATAATCACCATGTTGTAACAGAAACCTGGTTACTCGGATTGTTAATCAACCATAGACAAAGAGTTTTAATTCATTTGAAAACCTGAAGTTTAGCCTTGGCCACACTAGCTGGAAAACTCAAAAAACAGTTTTATTTGTTGTTATCTATTGTCCACCGGGGCCTTACTCAGACTTTTGAATCTGGTTTAGTGCTCAGCTCAGATAAAAATAATTATTGTGGGTGATTTTAACATCCATGTAACTACTAAAGCTCATCAGGTCATATAATCTATTATTAGACTCAATTGGCTTTATTCAAAATGTAAAAGAACCCACCCACCACTTTAATCACACTCTAGATCAGGGCTGCCCAATCCCAGTCCTCGAGAGCTACTATCCTGCAGCTTTTAGATGCATCCCTACTCCAACACAGCTGAATCAAATGGTTTGATTACCTCTTCAGCATGCCATCATGTTTGGCAAAGGCCTGATAACAAGCCATTCATTTGATTCGGGTGTGTGGGAACAAGGATGCACCTAAAAGCTGCAGGACGGTAGCTCTCGAGGACCGGGATTGGGCACCCCTGCTCTAGATCTTGTTTGAAAATGTTACAAAATCTTGTGACAATCTCACAGATTAATTGTGTGCTGCTTGTTTTAACAGATTGTGATGTTTTCTTGAGGTTAACGATTCAAACAGATAATGGGTGGGATGAGATAAACTTTCCAGGTAACTGCCCAGGTAATGAGAGGTAAGGATGTCTTCCAGGGTAGGTAGCTATTGGATTGTAAAATGGTAAATGGCCTGTATTTATATAGCGCTTTACTAGTCCCTAAGGACCCCAAAGCGCTTTACATATCCAGTCATCCACCCATTCACACACACATTCACACATTGTGATGTTTTGTGAGCTTTTATGACTCTCTGCAGAGCGTTTCTGTGTCCCTCAGTACCTCCTCTTTGTATGCACAATCATTGTTTTTCAGAATTCTGAGAAAAGTCTGAACTTTTGTCTTTACTTGCCTTGGAAAAAAAAACTTATTTACCACAGATCATAACTGTGATTGCAAACGTTGCCAGACAAAACTAGTTAAAAAAAAAAAAGGTTGTGAAAGCAGCCTTCAATTCTAGGTAATTCCATTCAATTTAACAGCCATACTCATTTAAATATATTTAAATAAAGTTAGTATATAATTTATAAATATTTATAAATATTACAACCATTAAGCACTGTGATCACTGCTGTATCAAAAGAAAATGCCATCTATAATTATCAATATTAAGTCAACATTAATTAACCAAACACAAAAATGTTCTAGTAAACAAATTTGTTAATTCATGGCAGAATCTTCTTGCTCTGAGGTGAGACTACTAACCACTGCAACGCCATGTCTCCCTATTACAGATCTATGTAAACGCCCCCTCTAGCAAGGCACCTTTTCACCTCTGTAGACCTCTGTTCTTAATGTGCACTACATACTCCCACTTTACTGTTTCACTGCTTTGAGATTCCCACAATATCCTTCAAAGTTCAGCAGGTGTCATATAGGGTATTTTGACTACAAATGTAAAAATAGGTCAAATCTTCCCTTAAGGCAACTTTCTTCTACTTGGCTGCGACTAACCAACCTTAGAAAGTTTTGAACAGCAGGTGGGTGTGGCTACTGTGCTCACAGTGTGAGATTAATTATTTATGCTCTCACTAACATCATTAAGATCCAACACCATGATTCTTTTGCTGACACGGGACATTCAGAGCAGCCTGGAGTCTGAGCCCTTTGCTCAGAGGGATTATACAGACAGTAACCTCATTAATTGAAACTTAAAATGTGAAATGAATATCCACCATTGTAACAGTATATATAAAGAACTTGTACTTTTTTAGAATAATTTCTTTTATTCCTTGTTTTATACTCCACCACAATTTAGAGTAAAATATTGTAAAATTCAGTTTAAACTAATGAATTACTGCCTATGCAAGGTATCTTAGAGCGAGAGGCAGGGTACACCCTGGACAGGTCACCAGTCTGTTGCAGGGCTGACACTTAGAAGAGGACAACCATTCGCACCTATGGACAATTTAAAATTTCCAGTTAACCTATTCCCACTAACTGCATGTCTCTGGGAGGAAGCCAGAGTACCCAGGGAGAACCCGCGCAAACATGCAAAATCCATACAGGAAGACCCTGGCCTGATGGTAGAATTGAACTCAGAAACTTCTTGCTGTGAGCCAACAGTGCTAACCACCGTGCCAACAATTCATTTTCATTTTTTCCCACCCATTTTATTTTAATGCAAGCCACACTGACGATGCCAGATGGTGCAGTTGGCATTAACAACTGTATGAAGATGAGGTGATGATTTTGAATCAAAGTTCTACACAGTCTCAAAACATCTGAAAACTCAACATTTGCAAGACTGACAGTCATAAAAATAAGTGAATGAATTTAATAAAGTTGTATTTCCTGTTTTACCTGTATTACCTGTTCATGGTGAGAGATTCATTAGATTAGGGCCATTTGCAGTTTTGGAGAAGTGGTCAAACCAGGCTTTTCTCACTGTATGATAGAGGTTACGCACATATCCACTGCATGTAGATGGGGATTACAGTTAAAAAAGAATTTGCATCTTGGTCCTGTTTTGGACCACAGAGAGCTAATCCTGAAGTGTTTTTTTTTCCAAGTCAAGAAAACTTAAGCGAATGGTTTGTAGAATAAATGGCGGCACTAGTGGATCTTTTTTTCCCCCTGTCTTTACTGGCCTGGTGTGTTCATGCATGCAAGGAATTTAGTGAGTGTGTAGACACAAACATGGCAATAAAGTTGAGAAAAGATGGAAGCAACCAAATTATTAATATTATAAGATTATGACACTTAGAAATATAGTCTTTAGTCTATGTCTACTAGCGGCTTGATTTTTAAGCATATAGGACAAAAAGTTTCTGTATACAGACAGTGCAAAGATCTGAATGTCAAGGTAGCTTAAATAGCACAAACCAGTTTCCCCCTCAACCCCAACCCCCCCTTTAAATTATTGTGTGGTGTAAATAAGTTTTACTATGTGCTTAAGATATTCACCTTCAATTAACATTCTATTTAAAATAAATAATTAAGGTCAGTCTGAGATTTGAGAAAACAAGTGCAGGTTGAATTTTCTCAGTTTTTCCACATTCAGCCAATTTAATTACAAAGACACATTACTGTATTAAATCAGAGAAACCTGTCAGCAGGTTCATTGGACGTTGGTGTAGGATAACTGGCCATGCTGTGATGTTTATTAATGAGAAAGCTGTAAAACTGACGAGTCAGGCATAGGGCTTGGATTAAATTGCACCTGCAACACAAAGCTCTCTATGGAAAAATACAGTGAAAGCGTAAAATGCACATGTGGCTTCTTTGCAACTTTTGCAGTGTGCAAACCCATCCTGTGGGCTAAATTGAACTCTTTTGAGGGCAAGCTGTATTAGATGTGGCTTAAACATTAAATAGGTTGTAGGTAGTGCTTAAACACTGTGTTTAAACACTGCTCTGTTGGTATTAGGGGCCAAGAAACTATTGCCTACATCATTAAACCACCAAGGCAGGATGGAGCCATGCTTGTCATCCTATCATCTCAAAGAAGCCTGAACATTCTCGTTTGACATTTCTCAAGACATTTTTGCTCAGAAAAATTACAATTAAATACTTTGTTACTGTACTTTTACAGGTATCTGACTTTACTTGAGTATTTATTTTTCTGACAAGTTATTACTTTTACTTCCTACATTTTAACACAAATGTCGGCGTTTTCTACGGCTCAACAAACATCAGCAAATATCACACAAACTTTTTATGGAATTTGTCACACACTGTGTCTGCTTTCTAAATGTACAGCTGTTGTATTTCCCAGAATGAGAGATAAGGTCACTCAGAGAAGGGGAAAGATATAAGAAAGACAGGGTCGGAGAGGAAGAAGAGCAGTTATAGTTAAAGGTAATGTCTGCCCATTGGTATTTGATAAACTGGAAATTTAAAGCTTACATGTAATTTCCTCATTTTTAATCAGGTATTGGGTGTGTATGTTATATTAGATATATATCATATCTGTTATTTTTGTTCACATTGTTAAACAAACTGTAAGTGACTAAGGTATACTAACTTAAGTATTTAAAGGTTGAATGAAAATACTCTGCAGTTTAGTTCAGAATAAACAGATTAGTTTGCTGTACTGTGGTAAATATGCAGTAAGTAACTGTGAATGGTTAATGTTGGTTTACATCAGTTGTAGCAGAAATAATTTTGAATTTAAGTTGACAATATTACGCTTAGATTCATTCTTCTACCAACTTTATATTGTCTAACATAAAGACAGAATAAACAGTACGCTTTCAGCAAAGGGAATGGAAATTAGCCAAGACAGCTTGTGAAATATTGGGTTACATTTTGTTGAAATCAGCTGTGTAAGTCCACAAAGAGCCTGAAACCTCAGAGCAGCACCAGCACATGTCAGCTGACCACAGCCAGTACACAAAGAAAATCTGCTGGAGCTCAAAAAAAGAAATGATTATTATGATGATTTTTTATATATATATATATATATATATATATCCGAACTTCTACTTAAATGATTAAAGTCTACACTTTTTCCTCACTTAGGAAAGTGTTTGAGGTGTGAAGAAGCTTCAGCCGTCGGTCTGTACGCTGATGCTGTTTCCTGGCTGCGTGCGTTTTCACGTGACCCCACGAGCGAGTGAGCCTCAGAGCCAGCGGCTGACACTTAAAGCAAAAGCAAACACAACAAGCAAACTGATTCACTTCGGCAGCGGACGCCTGTAATTTTCGAGGATGTTTTCACTCGGGGAGAAAATGGAGTTTCTCATAGGAAACCCATTTTCAACGCCGGTCGGACAGAGAATCGGTAAGCAGCTGCTTTTTAAAACCGCTCAGAGTGGTGTTCAAGTCGGTTCAGTTTGCTTCCATTTGTATATTTTCCGTTTTGCTTTTAAAAACTCTGCTAACACGTGACAGTGGCGACAAACCAGTTTACTTCCGGTTTTCGCATTTTATTCTATTTATTAATCAACTCCAAATTTGCCAGGAAAAATAAGATATTTTTTACAGTCAATGACGCAGGAGAGGCGGGATTAATTCCCTTGATTCTTCCACGTGATTGGTCGATATAAATTGAGTGGCAATTCATTTGGCGAATCCGGAAGCCGCTTGGCGTTCCTTCTCACTTCCTTAATCACTGATGTGTTACAGTTTCACACTATGCGTAAGTGTCAACAAGTGTGTGCCGTCACACATCTTATGAAGCGTCTGCCATTTGCTCGTAATGGCACCGGGATAGTTCTCTTTATCCAGCCACTAAAAGCTCCCACAATCCACTGCAAGTGCAGATGCCTGCAAAGATGTGTAACATCAGGACAGTCATCGGTATTAAGAAAATGTCACACACCCATCTCATGCCTTCCTTCCTCTTATCTCCTCCACTCACTTTCTCACATATAAATGTCAGCTACTTCTGAGGCAAATGAGAGCAGAATCAGCTGACAGTCACATGAAGTGGAAGGGAGCTGGGGAAAGAGAGTGGGAGGGAAGGGGTGAGGAGGGAAATGGAGTAAATGGGATTGGGGAGTGTGGGGAGTGTTGGAAAGGAATGAAGGAGATTTAGAGACTTATGAAGAGCCCGTGTAGGGTGGAGTGGGGAAAAAAAAGCAGGCTTTGATTGCAAAATAGTTTGGAGGATGCAGGATTTTAGGGGAAACCTTTCTAATCAGCTCAATGCTACAAATAATGAGTTACTGAAACGTTTATCAAGAAAGTGTTATTATATTTTAAGTTTTTTGTTGGGTTAAAAAAGGGTGGGACCTTTTGGTAAAAGAATATGACCCATATTTTAATTTTTCTGTCAATTTATAGGAAAAATTACTTTAAAGAAAACACAACTTTTTTTTTTTATCTTACCCTGGAATTTAAAGTGGTCAGTCTGTCAGACATTGTATTGCTTTGTAAGAACTATTCTTCACTTTTCATGTTTAATGCTGCACCTGCTTAGTCAACACACAAACAAACGCACAGCTCTCTCGTGTTTGCATCATTACATCCACTGATGAGGATGTCTTCAGTGGATGTAATGTCTTTTTTCAGGCTACTTTTGTGTCTTGCGGTTAACCAGCTTTAATATGCATGCGGCAGCTGTTTACCTTAGAGTTAAATTAATTTATTTGAATTATAAACCCTGACGTTTAGCTATCTTATAATGGGTAGCTGGATGGGCGGATACGTATTTTGGCAAGACTCCTGCCCGTGTTGTAAAACTGACTGTCATGCATGTCTGACTTTTAAGAATCATGTGCATGTGTAGCTCAACTACATTAATGAAGTCTAGTCAGGCAACATTACACTGAGGATTTTTATCTGAAAGCAGTTACATATTTTGAGGTTCTCACCAGTGTTGTCTTCGTTAACGGCTTGAGAAGGCAAAGAGTTAGAGAAGCATAACTAAATAAGCTGTCAGGGGTTATTTTTAAAACAGACAAAAAGTTCTCATATCTCTGTGCAGCTTTTAGCTGTGCTTTTTTTTTAGTGTTCTCATGAAGTTCCATATTTTATTCATTCTGTAACTATTACTGGAAATGGTACTAATCAGTAATTTTATGTGAACAGTGAATGGGATGTCTCTGTGGCATGCACATAGTGTCTCATGTAGGATTTTATCTGTCACATCTTCACTTTTTTGCCTTTTTTTCTACTAAAAGCTCCAAAACCAACTCAACCTAGTCAGCACTAAACAGCAGGCAGACACACACTTGGTAATGACCTGGTAGACACAGAGGTATATTTAGCATGTGTATTTATGAAGTGTTAATAAGTGTGTTAATAAGGTATCAGTCTGCTTAAACGATATCGATTTTACTGTATGTTTCCCAAAACATAAAAAATCAGTTAACCCTGGTTTAATCTGTGCTGTTGCTATTTAATTCCTAGCATAATGAACACTACGGTATGCAAATGTGTAAACTGTTTCCCATTGTAACTGATAATTTTTTTAAAACCCTCCTCGTGAAAGCAGAGCATAAAATGATCAGATGGTGACCTTTCTTTTATAAATATAGACCATTGGTTCACATTTTTGCCTTTTGCATTATGATAAGTAGACCTTCAAGTCTGGTCTGTGAAACAGAAATATTGAACCCTTAAATGTGTTGTGTTATGTCGATGTCATGAAAGAAGGGGGAAGTCTTCTGTTTACTCTGATTTTCCAAATATTCCAATTTCAGTATTATCATATTAAATGTAGTTTGATCTCATTCCCTTACTTTTGACAGAGCAAGCGACCAATGGATCGATACAGTCGGAAGACTGGGGGCTCAACATGGAGATCTGTGACATCATCAATGAGACAGACGAAGGGTAGGGTGATGTTATTTGTTGTGTTGGGGTATTTTTGGTCTGTCAGTGAAGCACACATGCAGGAAGAGACAACAGTTGTTCTATTAATTCCTTATTTCTTGTTTTGTCTGCACAAGTCACATCGAAGTCAAACTTGTTATTACACATGCTCACTATATAACATTTTAGCTTTGTCTATAATAGTATTAGTAATAATAAATGAGACAAACTAATAAAAAGTTTAAATTTGTTTTTTAATAACTTTAAGAGATAAATAGCTAAGGCAAGTTATGTAAGCATGTTTCCATGTTTTGCTTTTGCATTACTGTGTCACTTCCTTTATGGGTTTGTTGCTACTTTCAGTGCTGGTTGTCACCATTGACCTACTTACGTCTAACACTGTCTTCTAGTTAATTACGTACGTTTTCTGCTGAGAAAGCCTCTCTTGACACATGTTTTTCTGAAGGTTTCCTGTTGTAAGGGACTTTTTCCTCCCCACTGTCATGAGGTACTCACGGTGGATAGTTTAATTGTTGTATTATAGGCTCTTTACCTTCCAATATCAAACACCTTAAGAAGACTGGGCCATAGAAATAAAATTAATAAAACAGAATTGAAAGTAGTTAATTCAGAAGAGACAGAACAGATTAATAGGGTTAAAAGTGTAGGTTACCTGTCCCAGTTAAGACAGTTATATTTTTTGCTTTGCTAGTTTTTACCCCTCAGCTGTAAAAGGCTAATGGGGTATTGTTGAGCTCATCCCAGCTGCCATGTGGCATGAGGCGGGGCACACCCAAAACACGTTTTAAAGCTTTCGTGAGATTTTAAAGGAGGAAAGATTTTAAAATTTTATGTTGTCAGTGTTAAAGGTTTTTGTCACTGCATAAATACTTGCGGTAGCAGATAGTCAGAAAAAAATAAATTTTCACCATGTCAATGGAAGTACACACTTCAATTACTGTAAGTGCGACTGAACTGAAGATTTACAATTTACAGATTAAAAAATTAGCTAACAGATATGACCATGGAACTGTGAAATTATGCGTAAATATGCAAATAATTTTCAAACATGTACTTATTTCATATATTTAGTTATTTGTCCACTATAAATAACTATATATATAGTTATGTCCACTAGATAAACTGTGGAGAAGTAAACACTAGCATGTGCATTTTCTTTGCACTCATGTTGAAAAAACAGGTTAAAGCAGCAAAAGAAAATATCTAAATTCTCCATTACAAAATAAGTTGTTATATATAGTTTTGCCAGAGAAAACCCATTTTTAATTTAATAATCTACAGTCTTTTGTTAATGACTTATGTTGCATATTTTAATTTTTAAACTTTAGTATGGATAAGTAAACAAACATCATGTGATGCTTTTCCCCAGGCCGAGAGATGCAGTTAAAGCCATTAAGAAGAGAATAGTAGGAAACAAGAACTTCAGAGAGATTATGTTTGCTCTCACTGTGAGTAATTGTCTGTCAAAGATTGTATGTTTTTCTTTTTGTGTTATTTGTTCTGTCATGGCCTGTCAGATGTGAGAGGAATATTTTGCAGGTCAAAATGATCTTTGTCCTGGTTGGCTGTTATCCAAGAGGAGATGATTTCTGTGTTTACTTGTGCAAGTAGCTCAGTTAACTCGGGTCTTAGTTAACCCATTGACGTCATGCTAGAGAGAGATAGACTTTCATTTTGGTGCAGCTAAAATCACTTTTTTTTTTATATGTTACGTGTTGTGTTGATTCTTTTTCACTCTCATATAGGTTCTGGAGACGTGTGTGAAGAACTGTGGCCATCGTTTCCACGTTTTGGTTGCCTCACAGGAGTTTGTTGAGGGGGTTTTGGTTCGTTCTATTCTGCCCAAAAATAACCCGCCCGCTATCCTCCATGACAGGGTCCTCAGCCTCATACAGGTATGTACATGACAGAGTGTTTGTGCACAAGTGCAGTGGTGTCAAACCCTGCAGCCTGAGGGGCAGAATCGGCCCAGCAAAGACTCAAGACTCAGGCTGGATGGCTTTGGAAAATTTAAAGGAGGGCATCAATTTTTTTGACTTTTTTTGAAGCTTTACAACCCCAACACCCCCACAACCACTTATACTACACCAAAGTATTTAATCAGAATCAGGATATTTTAATAATCCCAACAGACTGAACTAATTAAATAATACAATATATTGCAAAGTTTAAAAATTTAAGGAATAGCACTATTATATACAAATCGCTCAATTATAAAGATATTACAGAGGATATTACTCAAGATCAAAATAGGCTGTATGTGGTCCTCCATGTAAAATGAGTTTGACATCCTGGTACTAGAGCTTTAGCTTAAGATGATTTGTATAAAAAAAAAAATCAATTGCCACTGTTTAATTTATTAGTCAATTCAAATTAGACAACCTAACAGAATCGCTTTTTTAATTTACATTGTGAGGCTGGAATCAGTCTCACAGACTCTGTTATGTCTATGGAAATGTGCAAAAGTGTTATTTTTAATGCTCACAATCCAGGTGTCTACATTGATATGTACATTCCTCTGCTACATGGTCAGAGTTCTTGTGGGTAATCATAAACAAAGACCGCTAACATTAACATAGTCTCAGGCTTAGAAATGCTTTAGGACAGTACACTTCTGTTCTCTGCATGTTGCCTTTTATGTGTTGTTCTATGTGCCACTGGATGCAGATTTAGGGGTCAGTCATCTCTTTACAATCTGTTACATGCTCTCTTTCATCTTCAGTCATGGGCTGATGCATTTCGAAGCTCTTCCTCCCTGGCGGGGGTGGTACATGTATACGATGACCTAAGAAGACGAGGTCTGGAGTTCCCCATGACAGACCTGGATGCTCTGTCCCCCATCCACACACCAAATAGGGTGAGACTATCTTCCAGTGAAAAAACAAAAGACCACTTGAATGTTTGGATAGTTATTGTACCGTACCTCTCTGACAAATCTTGCAGAGCACCCCAGAAAATGGAACCGCTGAGATGCCCCCTGTCACTGCTCCTACAAATGAGTCACAACTGGAAGCTGCTTCAAGTATTTCCAGTCAGAATACATCACCTTCATTTCAGCCCAGTGAAGGACCAGTCTCACTTACTGCAGAACAGGTTCCACTGACCAAAAATACCTCTCATTGTATATAGACTGTTTCTGTATCTGAAAATGGCTTATCTTATTTTCATGTAACATTAATGCATCACTGTGGCCTTTCTAGCAGTGTTTGACTGCTTTTTGTATTTTTCTCTAATCTAGGAGCAGAAGCTGCGAAGTGAGCTCGATTTGGTGAGAGGAAATCTCAAAGTGATGTCTGAAATGCTAAATGAACTACTCCCTGGACAAAGCCAGCCAGATGATACACAGCTGCTACAGGTCTGTGTGTGTGTGTGTGTGTGTGTGTGTGTGTGTGTGTGTGTGCGTGTGTGTGTGTGTGTGTGTGTGTGTGTGTGTGTGTCAGAAGTGCCTTTAGGAGCTGTGGACTGTGAATATAGTGTATTTGCTGTTGCCAGTTTAAGGACCTAAATTGTGTTCTAAAATCAATGCACCATATAGTTTCCTTACAATGTTCTATTGTTGTACATTTGTGGTATTTCATCCATCCATTTATTTTCAGCCACTTATCCAAAGTCGAATTGCAGTGTCAAAAAGCTAAGAAGGAAATTGCAAAATATCCTATTCCTTAGGAACATTTTCAAGTCCCTGCTGGGAATAAGTTCTCAGTCTGCACTACCTGGGTGAGACTGAAAAGCCTCTAAAGGAGAGTGTTCAGGAAGCATCCTTATCATATGCTGAACCACACAATTCCTTTTTGACACAAAGAATTGTCACCTTAATGTGGTTGAGGGGTTTCTCTGCTACTGTGATCCTAGGAGCATAACTTCTGAGCTCCACCACTTTAACGTTGTAATGATGTATGCTTTATTGATTCCTGTGGGGAAATTCCTCTCTGTGTTTAACCCATTCACTCAGTGAAGCAGTGGGCAGCCACCAATCTAGCACTCGGGGAGCAGTGTGTAGGGACAGTACCTTGCTCGGGGATACCTCGGGGAATCCAAACCCCCGACCTTCCGATCATGGGGCCACCACTCTACCTACTGAGCTATCACTTTGGCCACTCCTTGAGCCAAATTGGATGGGAAGCTTACTGCTGAGTGTCCAGTGGCCTAGCCTTAAGCCGTGGGGCCCAGCCATTCACAGCTCAAATGGGCCCACAGAGATTGGCTTTGAGGTTGGATGCATTTTGAAATGTGTGGGGGACAAAGGCATGGACCTGGGCACCATGACCCCCGCATTATAGACTCTGGTGATATTGCTAATTGCTGAAAGGCAGTTGCACTACTCAAAAGCTTATGGTGATGATGAACTGGGTGTTCCTCCAAGAGGCAGTCAAGTGTGTGTTGAGTGGCCAGGGAGGTGTTGGAGAGCCCCACTTTTATGCCCCTTTTCTACATTTACTTTTAGGTCACAGATAACAGTATCCACATTTCAATCAGTCCTGTCCACTGTAAGACATTATTTGTGAAAAAAGACAAACATAAAATGTTTTTGTATATTATTTCACATAGTTTAGTTTCTGTTGTGACGAGACCACATTAGATTACCAACACTGACTGAAAGGTTTCAGAGGTGTTTCAGGTTTTAGAGTGATTGTTTTCCATCCTTTAACGTCACCAGTCTGAATCTAAATTAATGTTTAGCTTTATTATTTTGCTTTTACTGAAGTGCACGTTTGCTTTGATGTCTCATGCCGCCTGTAAAACCGTTGCCTTTAGTGTTATCTAAGTTTAGAGCATGACTCGTGTTGTTGTCAATGGATTAAAATCAGGATGAAAACAAAACATGAAAGTAATTTTTGATGTAGCAGAATAATACCAATGACTGAAAATTATCTATTTAAAATCACTCTGTCATTTGGGGACAAAATAATTAGATTTTTCTTTCCTCCTCTGTCCAAGCAGCAGCTGTTCTCTGTCTGTAAGAGCATGCAGACTCGGGTGGTGGAGCTCATCCCTCAGCTGCTGGATGAAGGATTTATTGAAGAGCTGCTCGTGGTCAATGATGACCTCAACAACGCCTTCATTCGCTATGAGAGGTGCATGTTTCAGATTTTATTTGTAAGGCAGTGTTGAGATGTAACCACAGTGTGCTCAAAAGTGTGCTGCATTGTTTTTTAGGTTTGACAGATTGAACAAGACACAGATTGCTAATACACAACAGGTAAAAGATCCTCTTGTTTAATTTTCTTTAACATGACGCGTGCTGCACCGTGTGTCTGAAAATAGTAAACTGTCATTTAAGCAATGAGTATAAGCTCTCACCCACTTTTCAGAGCTCTTCAACAAACCTTATCAACCTCAGTTCTGAGCCTTCCACTGTCAGACAACCAGCTGTCATTTCAACAACCAGCCAACCAGCCGCCAGCACCAGTACCAATCAGCAGCAATCAGCCAATCACAGTCAGTAAACTTTGAGTAACTTTGAGCTTCTTTACGGTTCAGTTCAAAAAACACTGTCTTTTCCTCATCACGTTTCTTTGAAGTTGTTGGGAAAACAACCACTTAGAAAATGGGAACTATGATACTTAGTCAAAGGAGCTTGCAAAGAAAAGCGTCTGGACTTCTTTAAGTTGCTTGAAGACTCTGATTACATTCACACATTTAGGCGCTTCTGACATAGTGAAACTACAATTCAAAAAAGGGCATTTTGGTTACTTTTCCCTGTATGTTTTTACAAAAACAACCAGTGACAAATGGGACTTCGTTACCAAAGTTTGAATTTTAAAGAAAAGGGAGTAAATTGAGTTTAAAGTGAAATCAAATGGTTCTCACACTAGTTGCTGATCTTATTCATATATCACTTCTCTTTCTGCTGGAGAGATGTTCCAGTATAACCCTTGTTTTACTGAGGCTTCCTGTGACTGAAGTCAATTTAATTAATTATCAATCTAAAGACTAGAAATACAGCAATGGACATCTGTCTGTGTAGTTTCTTAGACATCCAGGTCATGGCATTCCCAGGAGCTTGGAACAAAAGCAACTGGACTTTTTAAAAAACTGTAAAGATGTTTCACCTCTCATCCAAGACGCTTCTTCAGTAATAAAACTGAGGTGGAGGTGGAGAGTCCCAGGTATTGATATCCTAGCTGGGGTTGTCCCGTAGGAGGGTCGTTAACCCACTATCAATCATTATCACATGAACCAAGGTGTGAAAAAAGGCGTGGGACATTATCACCGGAGGTTTCGGGTGAAACCATTGTGAGACGTTGCCTTACGCTATCATGTGGTCTATTGACGTCACCTGACACAAGACGTGCATGGAAGTTGAGCCATCTGGGAAGGGATTTCATGATTTCATTGTAAGTGGGTGACAGTTGGTGTCATAAACCACCCCATGCTCGTTCACAGTGGACATAGAGGGTGTCTTTTGCTCCTCTTTCAAACCATCTGTCTTCTTGGTCCAAATGTAAACATTGGCATCTTTGAAAAAAGTGACCTTTATCCTTTAGATGCAGATGTACAGCTGAGCCTTGTCTTGTTGAGATAGCTCCTCTATGTTATGCCATGTTTCTGTCCACTGAGTTGATGTGAAAAGTGATGGGTTGGAGTAGGTGAAAGGTGGAACCTCTTTATGAAACTCCAGTTGTTTTTCCCCCAAGCTCAGAAGAAAGCAATGAACATAATTAATGCAAACTGAAATATTGCAAATCTGAAAATCCCTGTGATTATGATTACAATTAGTTTTAGGATCTTAATTCAAAGAGCTTCCTTTTAAATAGTGTATATAAATTTGTGTTCCTTAGGCAAGGCATTAACTTCATAAGAAGCAGATCTTACTTCCTGTGGGTTAAACAAAGCCTGTTGGTGAAGTTTCATAACATATCATCAGGTTATGATATGAAATGATAAACATCCTAACAATGAACACTTACATAATATTCTGCATAATAATCTGCATTGTTATTGTTTTGGGGAACTGTTGGATAGTGTGTCGCTGAAAGAATTTTGGGAGAGCATTATCTCCTTTCCTTTCATAAAGAAAAGGAGATAATATTGAATAGAAGTAATACAGGAAGTGCTGAATCACCTTTTTTAGTGTTTACAGTTTCCGAACAGATCTTTTAATAGCAGCTCTATAGAAGCCTCTGGGTAATTGTGCTCCTTGAGCAAAATTGATTATTCAGCCGTAGCATTTGTCTTATGATTGGTAAAAACAGGATGCTGTGGCTGAACGTCACAAGGGAATGTTTAAAAATGCATAAGCTCCATGTTGACCGGTGTCACCTCATGTGATGAATGGCAACAACAATGGTTATAGGAACATCTCTTCTGTAACTGCTGTAACTTCTATGCTACTTCTGCTAAACATTTTAAATATATGTTTTTGAAAACATGGTCAAATTTAATACAATTTTGTTTTTCTCTAAAGTTATACCACAATTTTAATTAACAGCAATTAGATAACAAAGTAAATAAAATGAGGACTTCTGCATTGCAGATGAAGAGGAGGAATTTGACATGTTTGCGCAAACCAGAGGCAGCTCTCTGGCTGACCAGAGGAAAAGGTGAGTGTTACTTACTTATGATGGATATAAATGATATCATCTATGCGTTTTATATGTTAGGGATCTGCATGCCACTGATAACAAGTCGATTTATTAATGTTCTAGATAATGAATCACATTTATACTTATCAAAACAATACCTTAAGGCCCTGACAATTACAATCTTCCTATCAGAGCTGTGTTTTATTTCTTAACATTAAGTTAAGTTTTGAATTTTGGACAGACTGTAAGCAAATACGCTTTATTAGAAACACAGAGCCTTTAACAAAGACCTTTCCAATAAGGAAACCCAGCGACCTTGTCACCATTTATATTTAACAACTAGTAAATGATTTAGAGCAGCAGTCCCCAACCTTTTTTGCACCACGGACCAGTTTAATGTCACACAATATCTTCACGGACCGGCCTTCAAGGTGTCGCGGATAAATACAACAAAATAAAATGATACGAGCAAGACAAAAACTGTGGTATTTTGTAAACATAATAATAATTGCAAATTCGCTGTGTAATTGTGTAACTTTATTAGCAGCGTCTTTCCTGAAATGCGCCAACAACATTGAGAGTAACATCCTCCTCTCTGCCCCTAAATGCTCTCTGGTCGCTATGGTAACACGTAAATATTTCTTTCAAAGTAAGACACACAACTACAACACGGGAAAAGACGCAGGGAAACCGAGTTAACAATAAAAACCCTGAAAACCATAAATTTCATACCGAGCCTCAACTCTTGTGGCCCGGTACCAAACGACTCCGTGGCCTGGGGGTTGGGGACCGCTGATTTAGAGGATTGTGTGGGAAAAGCCCTGTAGATCAGCAGTTTCTGAAACACATAGAGCAGGGGTCTCAAACTTAAATTAGCTGTGGGCCACTACTGGCACTGTCATCTCATGTGAGGGCCACTTTAGTGTTCACGTAGTACAAAACCCCCAAATAAACAAACAAGAAGTGGGCAACTCCAGGCCTGGAGGGCCGGTGTTCTGCAGGTTTTAGATGTGTCCTTGATCCAGGACAGCTGATTCAAATGGCTAAATGACCTCCTCAACATGTCTCGCAGTTCTCCAGAAGCCTGGTAATGGACTAATCATTTGATTCCGGTGTCCTGACCCAGAGTGATATCTAAAACCTGGAGGACACCGGCCCTCGAGGCCTGGAATTGCCCATCCCTGACTTAGAGGAACCCATCCGGTACCAACAACCATGCATTGTTTAAAGCAGGGGTGGGCAATCTCAGTCCACGAGGGCCGGTGTCCCTGCAGGTTTTAGATGTGTCCTCGAACCAACACAGCAGATTCAAATGGCTAAATTAGCTCCTCAACATGTCCTGAAGTTCTCCAGAGGCCTGGTAACGAACTAATCATGTGATTCAGGTGTGTTGACCCAAGGTGAGATCTAAAACCTGCAGGGACACCGGCCCTCGTGGACTAAGATTGCCCACCCCTGCTTTAAAGTCACTTAACTCCCCTTTCTCCAATGTTCTGATGCTTGGTTTGAACTTCAGCCTACTTGTCTACGCGCGTAAATGCAGTGAGTTGCTGCTCTGTGATTGGCTGATTAGACATTTACAATAACGATCAGTTGAACAGGTGTACCTAACAAAGTGTCTGAGTGTTTTTATGTGCTGTATATGCCTGATCTGTGTGTGGTTGTGTGTGTTCAGTGTTAGGTATGAAGATCCAGGAGCTGTAGAGGGCCTGGCTGGAGCTCTTGATACCAGGCTGCAGGTCACAGGAGGAGGGAGTACAGCAACAGTAAGATGCAGCTGGATTTTGTTTGGAGTAATATCCCTGTTTTAATATTACAAATAAATAAAACTCAGGGTCATTTAATTTCTTTTAGATTCCGCCAGCAACAAACTCTATGCAGAATGATATTGACAAATGGTTATCTTCTGATGTGGTAAGAGAACACATGTGTGTGAATAGATAGATAGATAGATCAGGGTGATAATAGCATGACATAATCTTTATTCTTTGTCTACGCAAAAAGCCGGAAGAGCAGTCTTCAGTTTGCGAGGGAGTTTCCAGTGAAGGTATGTCTGGTCCTGTCGCTTCTTTTGAGTAATGATAATATTTTCAGACACACACAAATATTAAATTATACGTGTCACCATTTCAGAGTTTGATAAGTTCCTGGAGGATCGGGTGAAGGCGGCAGACTACAGCAGCCAGACGATTCTCAATGTGCCATCTTCCACACCCAGACGGCCACCACAATCTAGCCAGCAACAGGATAGCACACATGATCATCTGTTCTCACTCTGAGAGTGTGAATAAGCAAGACGACAGGATGGAGGTCAACACAGGAGTATCACAAACTGAAATATGGTTACATTCACACGTATAGTGTGCCAGGTCGGGTTTTTTCTAAAGGACACACACACACACACACACACACACACACACACACACACACAGATTAAACCTGACACTACAGAACTGCTAATCAATCAGCTTGTTTCATAA